GAGGTGAGGGGGGGGGGGGGGGGGGGGGGGGTCACGTTGCTCTTGAATGTAATTATACAAAAAAATGCAATCTAAAGGACTATAGCATCAGTGGTATACAATTGTTTGAAATAAAGAAATGAAGCGAAATGAGAAGCCCAGATTTTTCCGCTTCCGTAGAAGGCTTCCTACCAATGCAGGTAATCTCTTCTGCAGATTGGAAAAATTTTCAGACTAGTCCTTGAATGGACTTAGGTTTCTATGACTCTCTAATTTACCCTAATTTTGATTCTCTAACTGTTATATCAGAGGGAGAATTGTCATCATTCCAGAGATCGGAGAGAGGGGGAAAGAGGAATGGGTTAAATATGTAGCAATAATACATACGAACAGTCACGACATTATCTTAATTTAAAGCACAAAATTGCTCATACATCAATGCATTGACTATGCACGGAAATGAAAGGCATTAAAAGGATAGCTTCTCTCACCGTCAGCAACATGAGAAATATAAAAGAGCTGGTGAAGCCTCCAAGAATAGTAAATAACTCAGAAGATGCTAACTTTGCTCTATACATTTCTTGTAGAGAAAGAGTGGCCACGAACAGAAGACAAGAATATAGCATAGAACTCCCAGGTGCAGCCATGAGACTTGATATGACAAAAATGAGGAAAATGAAAAAAAGTAAGAATTCATTGTGTCACTTGCTACAGAATGAGAGAAAAAGGGTAGCAGCAATTGGTATCAAGTGTTCAAATTCTTGCTGAACATTAATAATCATTATGCAACCTAGCCTGCCAAATATAGAGAAAGGCATTTCAATTGGCCAAAATTACTCTCATATACAACTGAATACTTTCATTCCATATCTTAAAAAAACACACGTTTTAAGAACAAAATATATCTTCAGGGTAGGACCAACTATAGAAGTATGCTGATTTTAAGTAAAACAACTATGTAAGATTGCTACAAGAGCTTTTGTGCAGGAAAATTGCATCGATACTGTGTTGAATCAATATGCAATTCAAATCTCAACTCTGAAGACTATAAAACTGAATCAAATTGCACAAACGGACCTAACTAATAAGTTTGACACTGGGAGATAAGAGTCTACTTTAACCTTTATACAAGTCTTATAGAACACGGAAGGAGTTAATTTCCAAACAAACAACTAATTATTGCTAATTAAACCATTGCAAACTATTGGAGCCAACTGTAACATTCCAAGAAATTTACTGCCTATAGCAATGTAAAACAGTAAACAAACAGAAGGCGTATCTCGTTTGTGTGGTTTTGATTCCAAGAACTTGAGAAACAAGAGACTCATCCATGTTCAGCTACAGTCAATTTAAAAATGGCAACTTTCTTTTTCCAATGGAGGTAGTGTCCTACATTATGATCAAGTGTAACGCTCATTAGAAATCTTACAAATAGCTCAACCTTGTCGAGCATGCGCATTCTACATGGCACAAACTTGAATCACGATTCAATAATTTTCTTCAAGTTTAGTGTATTTTTTTACCTTCTAGAATTTCAGTGTGAAAGTCAGTGAACTCTAAAATTACATCTTTTAAAGATAGAGAACATAACAATTAACATACAACTCATCAAACATTTTTCTGCATTATAAGCGGCTCCAATTGCACGAAATGAAAATTCTATCCGGCATTTGTTCAAATGGCTGAAAAGATAACATGATAATTTATCATAGATTTTAATTTTATTTTCCCTACCAACGATCCCCAAAAACCCAGTTTCAAGTTCAAATCCATTAGAAACAATCTACAAACGAAAATAAAAAAAAAGAAGAAGAGCGAAATCAAAACCCACCAAATCCTCAAATATCACATAAGAGTAAACGTTACGAGTAGAGAAAGATACAAGACTCACCAAAATGAAATTGATTTTGGACGAAGGTGAAAAAAGAGACCCTGCGCGTTGAACTGAGAACACGATTTTCCTGCAATAATCCTAGTTCCGCGATTTGTTTGGGGAAAAATAAGAATAATTGTTCCAATGGTCATGAATTTAGAACCATGTATTATTTAAAATGTAGAGATGAGTCTTCGATAGTTTATTCAAAATTAAATTGTCGAGTTTTGTTAACTGACATTTGAAAAATGTCATAAGTTACTCATTAACAAAAATATTGAATTTAAAAAATATCGAGTTTATAGTGAGTGATGTACAATATTTTTTAAAGTTCAATAATCAAAATTCGATATTTTAAAATTCACTGAGCAATCGAAAAGATTGACCTAAGTTCATTGACTAAAATTCGATATTTTAAACTTTAGTGATTAATAAAAGATATGAACCTAAGTTTAGTGACCACTGGAAAAACAAATATTCGGGAAATTGTAACAAGCTAAACAATTTATTATATATTTGTATAAATAGGCCCTTTACTATTTTTTTTTTTTTGGAATGGATTCTTCTCTTTGAAGCTCGCAAGTTTGGCTCATATTTTCAATTTGTTTATGAATGACTCATCCACTTTTATCTACATATTTCATATATACTATTTACTTATTCGTCACTCATTTTTATTTAATTATAATTTAAATTATCTATAAATACATTCGAAATATGTTCGATTTTCTTTCATATCCCTTTTATTAAGTTTTTTCTACTCTTTTCCTTGTCAACTATTTGATTTTTAGTTATGGACTTAATTCGAGACTCGATATACTACATTGATTGCACTTATTTCATAGTTAACATAATTCGAGCAAAATAGGTGTTGTATATAATTTATTATTATTATTTTTTTTATACATAGGAAATTCACAAATCTCGTACAAAGTATTAAGTTTCACAACAAGCATAGCCCTCAGGTTTAGCTGTTATAATTGAATTTGAAACGTCGATGATAAAATAAAGGAATGTAAAAATGACATCAAATCATCGTGCCTTCAAAATAAAATGGTAAGAATCCTTCATCCTTTTTTGAGTTGTGATGAAGCCTCGTTTGGTACTCATTTTTGTAAGAGTAAGAATGAAAAATATAGTCGAGACTCACACGAGAGATAGAAAATTAAATATGGTGACTTGATGTGATAAATAACGATCATATTTTTTATTTTTGTGGCCAAATTTGGCCCTGTTTGAGCCTCATTTCTACTTCATTAAAATGAAAAATATGAGCGTTATCCATCATATCAAGTTATCATATTTGATTTTTTATCTCTTATGCGAACTCATAGCGACTATATTTTTCATTTTATTTTTTGAATAACGTGGCTCAAAAGGAGACTTAATCAAACGGGGCTCAAAAAATACTGATTTCCAAAAAGTTTCTTATTCCGTATAATTTGCTAAGACGGTTGTAGACTTCCCCGGCCAACGGCCATGGACCAGTTGGAGCAACCGGAGTGCCCAGTTTGTCTGCAGCCATACGCTGCCGATTCCGTCGTCCCGCTTGTCCTTCCTTGTGGCCACTCCACCTGCGAAGCCTGTCTCAAGCAGCTCCCCAACCGCTTCCCTCACACTCTCCGCTGCCCAGTCTGTACTCTCCTCTCGAAATTTTCAAACAGCCCCATATCCTTCCCCAAGAACATCGATCTTCTTCGCCTTTCATCCACCCTCCAAGATCTCCCATTGAAGCCGAAAAACGTAATTCCACGATCACCTCCACCCTGTGACAATCTCCCACTCCCGTGTCAGTTTATTAGAAATTCATGGTCTTATGAGTTTTACTCCACATGGAAAAAATGGATCATCCCAAAAGATATTATTTTAGTTGAAAAATCAAGTTCCGGAAGTTATGGTGAAATATTTGATGGAAAAGTTTTGGGGTCCTTCGAGAGTATTTCAGGTATGGGTCGTGTTCTGAAAGAGGAAGAAAAGGTGGGTCTTCTTGCAATTGGGATTTTTAAGGATGGAAGTGAGAAATCCAGGTTTTTAAGGTATAGTTATGAGTCAAGAATTATGAGTGTTTTGTATGGAATGGGAGAAAAAGAGAGAAATGAAATGACTTCGATCTTGAACTTGAGTTTGAGGCTTTGTAGAGCAGGAAATATTTATGGTTTTTGGTACAATGATAATGATAGTTGTGTTTATATGGTCTGCGAGAATTTTAATTCAACTGGTTTGTTAAAATTCTTTGATAATGAAGAGGAGGGGAGGTTGAGTAGCGATAAAATAAGTGGTTTTGGGATAGTCAGTACGGAGATGTGTGAAATTTTTAGTAGTTTGATTTCGGAAGGGCTGGTTATCGGTTGCTTGGATGTCAATTGTTTTGTCTTTAATGACTTTGGTCGTGTTTATGTTGATTTGGGTAAGGTTTTGAGTATGGGAAGGAGAGTGAATAAGGCAATGCGAAGAGGACACAAGGATTCGGAAGTTAGTATGAAGACCGAGTTACTGGAAAATCTTGTGTTCATTAGTCCGGAGATGTTACTGAAGTTATTCGGTAAGGAATTGTTTGAGTTGGATTGTGGGAAATCGATATATGAAGTTGGGCCTGGTTCGGATGTTTGGTCGTTAGCCTGTTTACTCGTTTCTCTTATTATTGGCAGCTCTTTTATTGAAGAAATGGCAATTTACGTGGATTCCATTGTAAATGCTGGAAATGATGGAAAGGTATATTCTTATGTTAGTTTATGTGAAGATTGGATGGAGAATGTTGAAACTTCGTTAGGACATAGATTGGGCTTAGAATATGTATCTCAAAAGGACTTACTATGCAGGTGTCTGGAATTTGATATTAGTAATCGCCCACCTGTTTCTGAACTATGGAAATGTCTGAGGGAGTTGGTTATTAAACCAAGGTTCGATTTTTGGGTCAGTTTGAAACATGAAGTAAAGAAAGAAAAAACAGGTCATTGTATAGTACTAGGGGAACTCTGTCAGATAGCAGAGGAAACTAACAAAGAAGAGATAGATGGGTTGCAGCAAAAATACGAAATCGGTAGAGCTAATGTGAGCAGAGATGTTGTCGAGGGCCTTTCTGGGGGCCATATCAAATGTATTGATATGAAGGGTCATCTTGATTGTATTACGGGGCTAGCTATTGGAGGTATGAATAATGAATTGCCCATCTTACTTAAGTGCTTTCCATTTTCTGGTTATTATGGTACATGCTATTATATTTTCCCATTGTTGACATTTATCTGAATTCATCAAATTGGTTACGTAAAGAATAATGACATGCTTCCCGTATGATGTTGCTATAAATATTGACATGCACATCGATCCAATGACTGTTTACATTTTAGCTATCAATCATTTCAGATCTATTTGAAACTAGCTAGAACTTGTTTACCCACAGGGATCATTTTCTGCCTGCATAAAAGCTTTTTACTTTATGTTTGGCTGAAATCAGTTATAGTAATTTCAATTTAGACACTTATTTTATATTAAATTGTAAGTGGTTTTTAAATTTTTACAATAAACATTTGTGCCATCTCAATATACGTACAGGTGTAAAGAGTTAGTCAAAGTAACGTAAGTAATAAATAGTTTACATATTCATCTTTCTCCATGAAAGATATGTATGAAAGACTTTCTTGCAGATTGTTGTTGGTATTTTTGTCTTGTAACGAACTAGAGAGTCTGATTTCCGCCTGTTCTTTTTGTTTAGGGGGTTTCCTTTTTAGCTCTTCATTTGATAAGAGGGTCCATGTATGGTCTTTGCAGGTAAATGGCTTAAAACAAACTCCAGTATTACTTTTATCAGTCTGATTGAGATTTCTTGTGCTTCCGTATTTTTGCGTAAAATGAATGTTCATGACTAAAAATTGCTTAAGAAATTTGGGTAAGTGATTCTATATTTTGTTGATTTATTGCTATTATAGCTGCTCTACTCGTATACTTAAAATTGAAGATGCAAAGTCATACCTTAGATGTGGTTAAAAATAATTTTTTAGTTAGTTACTATTTGACTTCGTGCAACGTTTGCGGACTTTACCCATCTTGCTTGTTCCTTCGGGCTATTCACTTGCAGATTTTAGCTTACGTATTGTCCACTAGGGGTTGGGCCCCAATGTGGTTTTACTTTGTGTCTCCAGCAAATCAAACCCAAGTCCTCTAAAGAGACTTAAGTTGAATACTAGTACCAATTGGATATCTAGATGGGGAAAGTTCGTGGTCATTACATTATTGTTCCTGGGTTAAAGTTTCAATTCAATTTTAGGCGGTTCATGTCATTGCCTGATGAGAAGGGTATCCAGGAAGGTGGTGAGGCTCGTCTTGGGACTGCCTCTCCTAAGAGAGAGAGAACGTTGCTACTTGGGAAATATCTGGCCAATTCAATGGTTGAAAAAATATAATATGTCATATGTTGATAGAACTGATAATTCTGAACCCAATTAACATTTTTAAGATGGTATAATCATTCTCATATTAATGTATGTATTTATGAAATTGTTTCTTCCTGCTCGATAAATCTGCTTTTAGAATGTTTCAGGATTTTACACATGTACATACATTTAAAGGTCATGAGCATAAAGTCATGGCTCTAGTTTTTATGGACGGAGGACAACCATTGTGCATTAGTGGTGATAATGAAGGTGTTATATGCATCTGGGATGCCAGTTTTCCCTTTAATGAAGAACCAATAAAGAAGTTGCACGAGCAAAAGGATTGGCGCTATAGTGGTATTCATGCCCTTGCTGTTTCCAGAACTGAATATCTCTACACCGGGAGTGGAGACAAACTGATAAAAGCATGGTCTCTGCAGGCATGTCTAATTATTCCTTCGTAATTCCTCTAGTTATTTTTCTGTTTTTGGTCAATAATTTATTTATTTTATTTCAGGATCATACCCTGTCATGTGCTATGAGCGGTCACAAGTCGGTTGTATCATCGCTAATAGTTTGCAATGGCATTCTTTATAGTGGAAGCTGGGATGGGACTGTCCGCTTATGGTCTCTTAGTGATCACAGTCCTTTGGCGGTCTTGGGGGAGGACACACAGAAAAATGTGACTTCTGTTTTGGCTCTTGCTGCCGACAATAATTTGCTGCTTGTGGCGCATGATGATGGCTGCATAAAGGTGGAGTAAATATAAGTTTGACTTTACAACTACCCACAGTTCTTGAATTCCAAGGAAGTAATAATATTTTGGTGTGTATATGAATAAACTGTACTGTAAAACTTGTCCAATCTTGAACTTCATCTTGAATTTGGTGTCAATTTTTGCAGATGTGGCACGATGACCTGCTCGTGAAATCATTGCAAACTCACAATGGTGCCGTGTTTGCCGTTAGCAAGAAGGGGAGATGGCTTTTTACTGGTGGCTGGGACAGGACTATTAATGTGCAGGTACATAAGTGCAATACCAAATCAGCTGCCACCATTCAGCATTAATTTCTTATTTTTGGTTAAGCTCTTTTAAGCTAGCTTATAAATAAATTATTTATTTAATAATCAAAGTTAGAAATACGTAAGTTATTTTTATTTTTTACTAAGAAAAAAGTAACATGGAGACATATTTGAAAAAAAAAATTACCTAAACATAATTTTTGCTTTTATTAAGCTTATCTAAACATGCTATTTGCAGGAAATATCTGACGTCAGGGATCAAATCGATACCGTGCCTGTTGGTTCCATTGCTTGTGATTCTGTCATAACAGGGGTGATATACTGGCAAGAGAAACTGTTTGTGGGACAATCAGATAGAGTAATTAAGGTAATTAATTTTCGTTTCTTTCTGGTGCAGCGCATAGTCTCTATCATTAATAATCATCTTTGTTACTAACTATGAAGCACCGACATGGACACTTGTCGGACACACCGACATGCTATTTTTCAAAAAAGTACTAAGACGACACGTTGATTAAATTCTTTAAAATTCTTCACTTATATAGTATAAATTTAGTTTTATACTTGTTATTAATTTTTTTTGTCAAAATTTTTTAAATATGAGTATCTATTTGTTATTTAATAATAATTTCAAGTTAAAAATATATAATATTTTTGATGAGAAAAAAATAACCATAGCAGAATGTCCGATGAGTGTCGGTGTAACATGGACACATGTCAGTCACGGACATGTTACCCCAATTGATGTGTCCGTGCTACAGAGATTACAAAGATAGAGCTCAAGTTTGAGTTGATAAATTTGTTAATTTACATTTACAGCCAATGTTCCATTGGTTTGCTTTTCTCTTCTTGTCATTTCATTTGGCTGCTTTTGATGAAAAGATCAATTGTAGCATAATTGAAAAAAAGGCTTCACCACCCGTTCCCCTCCTTGCTCGGGACCTGGGAGCACCTTGCAAGGTTCCCAGCAATTTCAAATGGGGGGAGTGTGGAAATAATACGAATCTCATTCCCGTTCCTTATTTTTAATGTGGAAAATTTCTTACCTTCAGTCGTGGAAAATTGGCACGATCTGTGCTTTAATATGCCTATATTCAGAGCTTGCAGGATTAACAAGTATTAACAAATTTCTTCTGATTTTATCAGGTGTACTATGGAGTATAAGCAAATGAAATGTTGAACCTGGACTTGTTGGGAGGACTTCTGGTATTAGAGGTGATTTAAGCCAAATGTCGTTACTGTAAATAATATAAAGAAAACTTACAGAACAATTTTTGAATCCATTGTAAAGATCAGAATGAAATCTGTGTATGTTTAACACTTGCTAATCTTGTTTTCATCATAGTTCCATTGGGAATTAGGATAGACAGTTAATAATGTCTTAATTTAGATTTAGATGAAGTTATTACCTTTTCTCTATCGTTCCCCACAGATCTCAAGGCAAAATTGATGGTATTTTTATTTTTTTATTTTCTTTTTTTTGTGAAGATTGATTTGCAAAAAAATTAGAGGTTATGTTTAGTTGAAAAGTAATAGATTGTTGGGTAAGCATGAACTGTAAATTACTAAACAATTTATATTTAAAAAATAATAATAAATATATTAGACTTCATCTCAGTAATCACATATTCTTACGATACAATTTCTTCGCACAACAACAATACTGTCAACCACTAATGAAAATCGAAAACGAAAATGCTACCTGCATGCAATATGTGAATCACTCTACACGAAAATTTACCAACTTACTCAAATTTTTAATGTTATTGTCAACATTTAACAGTGTCGAGAATGATAGTATAAATATCATTCTCGACGTTTATAATCATTATTGACATTTATAAAATGTCGAGAATGAAATGACGGGATTTCATGCATTTATCATCTTCTTCAACTTCAACCACCATTTTTGCAAGAATTTATTCCACCATAAATAATATTCTAAATATAGAAGTATATTATCTAACTAAGTTATTTAAGATGAATGGTACGAAAAATATATACTCAGGATAATTTCGTCCAAGGGAAAAAATACTTTATCAAAAAATTGAGATTTGAACATATACAACAACAACTACTAAATAAAACTTATCAAAAAAAAAATGAGAGTTCGAAGAAATAGAGTTCAAAGAAATATACTTTCTACCGACAAATGATGAAAGCCTAATCAGCTTCAAATTTCTACCACAGTAAATTTCTTAAAATAATTTCTTTGAAGTTGGAATCATATACTTCTTCGTATATGGTAATGGAATTTTTGCTTCTTCTTCATTTGTTCTAGAATAATTGATTAAAATATAATTAAAAATATAAGCAAGTTGACTCACCTAGGTAATAGCATCATTATTGTGCCTTCTCGTAGAAGTTATTTGCTCTTCTTAAAAATTGTGCCAAAGTGATATAAAATTGATTAATCTTTTCATGAGGATAAAATAGACATTTTGATCTAAAAATTGGATATTTTTGCAAAGATTATAAAAAAAGTACACTTTTCAACTCCAACCCTTATAATTGGACATTCTTGAAAATGCCTCTTTTCTAAAAATGATGTTAGAATGGACTCCAAATGAGTTCTAATTCTATTTTCATAAATATCTCAAGCTATCTTTTTTACGAAATTTTGTTATAGCATCTCTATCAGCTAGAGGTTTATGTGGACAATCTGGAAAAGAGGCATCCACGAAAATAATTAGCTTATTGACTCTTCGAAAAGTACTATAAGAATTGGTACCCAGCATCCCTCTTGTAATTCATATAGAGGGTCATATTTTGGTTAGACCATCTACTCATAAAATCTCACTAAAGGCAATGTCATTTACACTGTTTTGTTCAAGCGGTTAACGTCATATCTGCTTGTTTGAGACTTGATCTTGGTAGATATCGAATGACATTAATGGTAAACGACATTCTAGAGACAACAAAATTGTACAAACGGCACTAGTCCATAATTTTGTGCAAATGCCAAGTACAAACGTTGAAGATGCTTTTTGACATTTATATGAATATTTTATGATTTAGTAAATATTAATTTTATTATATTAACTATCTTTCGAACTCGATCAATATTGCACTCAACCAATATAAAATCGTTGACATTAGCAGATGATTTTGAATTTAATATAAAAGTGGTTGTACAAAAATTGCAAAGGTCGAATAATTGGAATGACTAAATTTGATTATTCTTATTAATTATTAATTATGGAGTGCATCAAACACTACCAGGAAAAAGTGAAAAGTCCTAAGTGAGACTACGTTATTTTGATACTATGTATCGAAATTATTATTACTTCAAAATAAGTAAATAAATGTCAACGTGACTAAATCAATTCATGCCATAAGATTGACATTTTCAGAAAATAAAATATTAGATATAATGATTGCATATAAATAATTAAATTACTAATTATCATGCTCTTTTTTCTTGAAAGTCAATTATTTTATTTGCTTATTGAATGTTAGTTTTGAATTATTTGTGGTATAAACATCAATAATACTTGTATGGGAAGTTTGATGCTAGTCAGGTTTCATAATTTCAGCTTCTTAGGGCCTGTTTGGAAGCAATTTTTTTACCGTTATTTCACTATTTCAGTTGTCATATTTGACTTCTTCTCTCACAGGTGGACCCCACTTTTCTTCTAACGGTAAAAAAATTAATTATCAAAATCACTCCCAAATAGGCTCTTAATGTATTCTATCAGGTAAATTTTATGTTAAATTCGAAAAATGAATTCCTCATTAGTTTTTGTGTTCATTTCAGTTAACTGAATCCATTTGGACAGTCATAGACATTGTTTCATATAATACGACATACAAAATCAATACAATAAATTAATTGGTCAAAAATAATATGTTGAAAAATGAATATATTCCATTCTCGATGGTGCTTCTGTCACGACGATTTCTGTCATTGTCAATCATAAAATTTTATTCTTTTTAACATTTTGATAAATATCATAAGAAATGACAATAATTTAAAATATGTTTTTGTTCTTTCATTATAGTATTATCGAGTTAGAAGTTATTCTTTTAACTTTTATTTTGTCTGACAGAATTTTTTGTTAGTATTGAATTTTTATATTATTTATTGAAATTTTTTTTGAAACTATTTATGTTTTTAGTACTGTTAACTAAAAATCTTTTCTTAATCTCTAATTATTTTCATTGTTGTTATTCACCAACAATATTTTTACGCAAATATAAGTAAATTTTGACAAGTTAAGATTTTATACAAATTGAGGGCTCAAACGATCGCATAATCACTTAATATTTGAGTGGGCTCTAATATTAAATTAATATCAATATTATGATGAATGAAAAGACGCTCCTACATTGATTTGGTGCTGAACTTTTTGAGTTCGGAAGTGTCTTTTCATTATCAGATATCGACTTCTTGTAACTAGGTTATGATGATGCAAAGTGACGGAATAGCATAGCACTTTATGGGACTTGTCCCAAAGAAAGAAAGAGTTTTTGTGCCCAAACTACGTTGTCATTTTAATATGAAATGGATTGGATTTGATTGAACTATTTTTTTAAAAAAAATATTTACCAATCATCCATACTTGTTGAGTACCGGATCAAAGCGCTATATACATGTCATTTGTTAAAGTCAGTTTAAAAATCTTTACAAAATGGTCCTATCGACGATGTATTACAATGAATTGGTGTTGACACTTGACGGTTATAAAGTCCTATTTAGTTATTTGATAGAACACGATTAATCAAATTCTTCGCGTATCTACTTATCCTCATGTCAACATTTCTAGGTTAAACTGAGTAACTTACTCTTCATTTATTGACGCAACTTTGCTAACATTGAACTACTTTGCACTATTTTAGAGTTTACTTGCAACTCAACCAATTATAAAAGGATTGACATTTTCAGCTCAATTTATAATTGAAGGTGATTTTGACAATTATGATTTAATAAAATTAAAAGTTAGCATAAGGATTAGTTATATAAAATTTTACAAAGGTCGTCTGATAAATGGAAAGAATAGAAATTTGATTACTTTTATTTCATTAACGCGACTTTGTATTCTAGAATGCACGAAACGCTACCTTAAAAAAGTAAAAAAGTCCTAGCTAAAATTAAGTATTTAATAAAATGATGTTGCGATTTTCATTATTTTTAAACTTAGTAAGCGAACATCAACGTTAATGTTCAGCTTATGTTTATAAATTGTTTACAAACAATATTCAAGTCATTTTTCTATTTACACATTTCGAGAGATCTGTAAGTGCTATACACTTATACATCATTCAATTCTATTTATTTATCATTTAAATCGTTCATAAACACATTCGATGCTAAAAGTATAAACATATAAAACTATATTTTAATTTCTATCTTCTTTTACTTCACAATGGTTTTGTTGATTGCATAGGGTTATATAGGGTGTAAAGGGCTTGTACATAATTAAATTAAAAATTATCGTTCCGCTTTGTTTTGTTTTGTTTTTTCTTTTAACGAAATTGGTTTTGAATTATTTGTTTAATAACCTTCAATAGCTCCTTGTAAAAGCAACTTTGTTGCGAGTTAATTTTCATGATAACTAATTTAGGGTGTATAATTTTTTTTTTTTTTTTTTTATGACGGGGGAACCCGTAGCCGCTATCCTTTGGGTGCGCACTGGATAAATCCTCGGACTCACGCAATAGCTTGCAAACCATGTCAGTAAGGTAAATCGCACTAGGCAAGCCTTGTGCGACAGGTTCGACCAAGAAAGTGTTGGCAGGGGAATCAAACTCGTGATCAAAGGTTTTCGCGCTTACCTACTCTACCAATTCGGCCACCTCATGAGGGGTACTTTAGGGGGTATACTTCTTATGATAGTCTAGTGTTAATTAATGTGAAAAATTCAACTTCTTAATGTATTCTATAAAGTATTCTATTTTTATGGTAAATTCTAAAAAAGAATTCCTTATTAATCTTTTTCTCCCTTTCATTTAAATAAATACAATAGGACATTTGATATGAAACATGTTTGATATAATATATGATACACAAAATGAATATGTTAAAAATAATGTTTTGCAAATGAACAATCAGAGATTTACAAATTATTAAAACTTGCCTTCTTATTAATTTTATGCATTATTTTCGTTCTTAGTCATCTTTGTTAAATTATTCAAAAACGTGATTTTTTGTTCATTTGTTAATTATCAAAACAAGAAAGTTGTTTTCAACCGTATTTGATTATACACGAATAGATTTAGAAAATAAATTATACTTCATAATATATTTAAAATTTATCACTATACTTAGTTTAACTAAAAGATATTCGATATAAAATTAAAATATAAATAAAAAAATTGTAAAAATGAAAATCAATTTAACAATAGTTTTACATATATACTAAAGATATATTGATACGAATATTTCTTAAAGACAACGTAAATTAAAATTATCTATTT